TACAGCAGTACCTGGTAGACAAAGCATGAACAGGGAGAACCTGGCGGCAATAACAACGGAAAACTTCCAATAAAGCCTCCACTGGATACCGTGTGTCCTATAGTATGTTCGAGTGATTTGGACGAGTGGCTTAAATACATGCCAAAGAGGAAGTCTATGCTTGACAGAAGTTACAAGGATCCTAGATTCAGAAGTGTAACGGGAGGGTCAAGTGCGAGGTACGATCTTAGTTAGGGAATCACAAGATTTTCAGAGCATAACTGTTATCTAGGAAGTTAGGGAACAACAAGGTTTTTGGAGCATAACTGTTGTCTAGGAAGGGACAACCTGAAGTTAGGATGTGCCCCCGCCCGTGATCAAGTTTCCACTCCGGACTGGAGAGACATATAGTGGGGGGGGGGGGGCGTTTTAGCAACCTCTATGTCACGACGAAATGTGGTCACTATTCAGGGCAGGTTGCTGTATCGAACGACCAATTATACAGCAGTTATTCTACCGGGGTGCGGCGGTGCGACGTGGTTTCGCGGTCGCTCAACAGGGGGTCGCTAGACCGAGCCCCCCGCTGTATCCCGAAGACGAAGTTAGAAACAACGAACGCTTAGAGAATCGATCCCGCTGTCAGTGACCACGGACTATACCACAACTTTCTGTCCAGAAGGCCCCGGAGCGTCTCCCCACGACTCACCACACCAACATGCATAATTTCAACAGCACCAAAAAGACGCACCGAGACTATGTAGCAGTGCATTGAATCACGTGACCACGGGTTGGAGTAAACGGCACTAGTGCTGTGAGCGCTGATTTGAAGTGACGACCAAAAAAAAAAAAAAAATGAACATCCACATGATAGACGTTCAAACAGCAAGGGTGCTTGCACCGCAGCGAGGGCGTGTTCAGCGGTAGGTACATGTGCGAAACACACAAAAATCACGTTGGAAAAACACACCAGAAGTTTGGACGTCGATTGCTGTTGTTTTGTGTTTTTCTGCTCAATTTTTTGTTGATGGTGCTAACCCACCAGACGAAGTCAATAGCGCACTTGTTTGCTCTCCAATATTCAAACCAACCCACCGAAGGCAAAGAAAAAATTTGACATTGGAGAGCAAAACAAGTGATGTTGACTTCGTCTAGTGGGTTAGCACCATAAAAAAAAATGTGCGCAGCGAGACAGATGGCAACTACGCAACCACAATATAGCATGCACAAACGACCTACAATTACTTCTTCCTCCCTCTTTCTCACCTATGCTGTACTTGTACAAAAAAAACAAAGACAAGATATGAGACAATAAGTTGACAGAAGGCTGGGCGCTAAATCAGCGAGCCGGAGAGCTGAACAAAATCACCTTGATCTGAGAGGTCTGGCCCCGCTGCGCTGACAACGGCATAGAACTAGGAGAATGCCTATTGGAGCACTAGGAGAGTCAGATAATAATAACTAGCTCATTTTACTTTTCGCTGCAGGTTATAACCCAGTTAGTTCATCGGGTGGGATACACGGACCCTTTGGGAGAGAGGGCGGCGGGAGTAGGGTAGGCATCACGCCAGTGGTGCAACACAAGTTCTGTTATGACACAAAAAAAATCTGTTCTTGGCAAGCCCTATTCAGAACGGGACCGGAGATAATGAACGTCATGTCGGGCCGAGGCTCAGTTTGTTATTATCGTCGCCACCGCTGTTGAGCACAGGTTGTTATCGATAGGGTTTAGTGTACGATCGACCGCTGAGCTTGTTCCTTAGACCTAATAGTCTCAGTTGTCGTGATAATTCGTTCATTAGACCCAATAGTTGTAGTTGTGAGAATTTGAGCCTCCGTTTCTCAAACGAAATACCGCTCTGTTCCGAAATACGATCACCATTCGATACCAACGTCATTTGTCCCAATGGTCCCTATATTTCTCAACAGAGTAGCATCCTCAACTGCGGGCCCCTTCTGTACAGCACGTCGACGACGGCAGGCGCGGTCAACCTACCCTCGACATAGCTTCAAGATCGTCAACCTCCCCTTCCTCTCAGGCTGGCTCACCTCCCGAAGTGTTCCGCGACCCTCTTCTCAATTGGTCGTTCTTGTGCACGGGGTCGGTTCGGTTCAACATCACCATTCGAAGGCGGCGGCGGCGGCGGCGGCGGCGGCGGCGGCGGGGGTGAGAGGGGCATGCTTAAGTCGATTCGTACATGTTGGTGCGACGGTTCAACGGCAACAAGCAAAAATTTCACATGGGCATCCTCTTTTCCTGTCGTTGTACACATGTCTTGGCATTTGTAATAAACCGTCCGGATGTCTGCTCACGGTACCTTCTAACAAACGTACGTACTCACTGACGAGGGGGGTTCCGTGGTCACAGGCCAACAGCAAAAAAAAAAGAGGGGGGGGGAGGGGGGGGGTTCGGCGAAATAACAGTCTACTCCTTGCATGAAGTTCCAATCTGTGTGCGTTGATTGACAGCAGCACCTTCGGAAGGGACAGGGGGCCGGGAGAATGCTGAAAATATATGCATATTTTTCGCCCTGGAACTCGGTCAACCCCTGACCACGCACTACAGCTTTCAAGGAAATATACTGTAAATACTAACTAATATAACAGCAGTCGAAAGGGAAGTGTGAAGTCGTGACGGTGTGTGAAAGAACGACCCGGCTGGGCGTATTTTGAGTCTATTCGTTAAGCCTAAACACTGAACATATTCTTCAGTGATACCAGCTGGTGCTAGTCGGCTTTGAACCCGAAGAGCCGCCTTCCCTACTACTACGACACTGGTGAGGCAAGAAACACGGCCTTGAGAGAACCCCGTACCGCAACCCCTGCCCCTCCCGAGGGGAACAACTCATGACAGGGCAGCGCCGGAGGAGTGATTTCTGAGTGACCAACAGCTCATGATAAGCAGCGCCGGAAGGAGTGCTTACTAAATACTGTATGACCAACCACCCAGCTGTATCGTCTACATACCGACGGGTGCTGCCAACAAATCGGATGCACGAAGCAACAAAACTTTAGATGTTCTGTCCTGCACAACGTCTGCCGGCACCCCGGGCAATTTATACCACTGTGCATTGTGCCGGCTAAACAAACATTTCCCTCTGCACAGGTATATTTGATGCAGAAGGTCTCCCTTCAGACATCAAACGCCCGCCACTTGCAGCTACAATATGCATACACGTGCTCAGTCCTGACAACACCGGCAACGCGAGCAAGTGCTATGTTCTGGTAAAGTCGTGGCTCCGATATAAGAGGGTGTGACAAAGGCCCTCGACCCTTCTATGTCAGACCCCCCTCTCATACAGGATTGAGAGCGTACCCAACTAACGGGTCCAGTGCGTGGCATCCAATTTCGACCCTCGTACAGTATATCGGAGACACGGCTGTACTATAAATAATAGTAGCCAACGGGGTCCGTTGCGCGAACTGTACGACACCCGAAGGGGCGAGGAACGTGCTGACGCCCAACACGCCGGTGCAAAAGTATGATTCCGGGAGAGTTGCGCAGACGCTATATGGCCAGCCCCAAGCCCAAAACATAGAAACATCAACTAAGAAAAAAAAAAAATGCTGGGTATTCGATCATCAAAATCTGCATCGAGGCAGGATGAAAAAGAAAAAAAAAACTACATGCATGTGCAAGCGAGGCCTCCGGAGAGCGCTCATGAACGAAGAGCAGTGCAATCAAAAAGGGCGACGCAAGAAGTAGGCAGCGGGACCAGCCCACAGCTGGCTGCCAGCTGACGGGTGTGATGTGTCACAAGCTCACACAGCCGAAGGTGTTTTCGACTCGGAGAGCCCAGCGAACCTCAAAGAACAGAAAGGAAGCACAAAATAAAAACAAGTCTTACAAATCTGTGTACGGCCTTGGTTTGTATTTGAAGCTCACCTCCTCCCTGAGCTCTGCGATCTCTCTGTCCTTGGCCATCATGTTATCCAAGTACTCTTGCACATTGAACGAAGGACCTGGACAAAAACGGGTACAAGAGGACAAAAAGAGGGTGCGTTCAAGGAAGGGCCTGATAAAGGTACATGCAAGAGACGAAGAGGGTACGTTGAATGATGGGTCTGGACCAAAAAAGGTACATACAAGAGACAAAGAGGGTACGTTGAAAGATGGGACTGGACCAAAAAAGGTACAGACAAGAGGGCGAAGAGGAGCGTGATTGACTCTTGTCTGTCGGTGCGGATCAACTCATGCTTGTGTTGGGCTTGGAGCGATGTGCCCACCTACACGGCAGATATGCTGTGTGTGTGAGCGGTGATTCTTAACGTGATGGACGACAAAAACAAAAAAAGGATTTGGAGAGGCCTCCTGCCGCGGAATTCTCACAATTCGCCCGCAGGATACTCCTCCGCACTTCGATGAGAGATCTCTCGACGTAGATACGGCTGGGGCATGCTCGACATGCACCCTTATTGTTGTTCGGAGCTTGCGTTCTGTGCAGCTATTCTCCTTCGGATGGATATGCCAATGTGGACAATACAAGGTAACGCGATGAGTCAACGTGGCGAAAAAATGTTGTAGGAACACTTGTTGCCGCGGTACATAGTTCAATATTGTTTCTCGAACGACACTATATGTGCGTTTGTGGCACCTTTGTGCTGTATGGTTCTCTTTCGCAGCAAAACGATAAAGAGAAACATGGAGAACAAATGAAACGTCGGGGGTTTTATCGATGCAATCTACGCGGGTTGCACCGCCGAATAACCTCCAAACAACCTCCTGTTAAAACTCAAAATTGCCTCCTTTTTAACTCAGACTTTGCCCCAGTTTTCTCCTGGCGACAAGCCGGAAGCACGCATCGCGGTCAAAATCTCTACATCGATGGTTACACTCAACATTCCCCGAACAGACGAGTGCTTCCGTTTCGCCGACGCTGCCGTGTCTCTGCATGTAATAGTTTACGGTGAGCGTACCAGCACTGGATAGTGACGATTTGATTTTGATGTGTAATAAACTTGACTATGGGGAAGCCTAAATTATATTTTCGTGGTTTAGGCAGGGCATATTATAGAGCCGGCACGGTCGCCCCGGTGGTTTAGTTGGTATCCTCGAAACCTGCTCGAGGTCAGGCCAGGGGTTCGAATCCCGGCGTAAGCGAGCTTTTCTTGCAAAGTGAGTTTTTCTCTCGCTTCCGCTCCTGGCCTAGTGGATAACGCTAGTTCGTGTGTACACAAAGGGAAGAGAGTGCTGAACTCTTCTCGCATTAAAAATCGGTGGCACAGTACCGCAGGAGGGGAGGGTAGAGAGGGACTCTTCTGTGTGACCACGGGTTGGAGTGAACGGCACTAGTGCTGTGAGCGCTGATTTGAAGTGAAGCAAAAAAACAAACAAACATGAAACACAAGGCTACGAGCCGTACTTTATTTTTTTTGCTCCCGTCGATATGACCTCCCCCCCAAAAAAAAACACACAAACCAAATAAAAACACACAAAATATGAAATTTCAAATACGGACTACTATATACATTTTCTTGTATCGATGTTTCGTCGATCCCAAGAAAAGAGATGCATGCATGCGGGTTCCCAAGCAACACGGATTTAACTCACGGTTGGCCGCGGCGTCGTTCCTTTCGGAAGGGGCGGGTGGTCCGTGATTCCAAGAAGCCGCCCCGCTTTGCGAAGCGATCAGGCGCTGCCTCGCCGCCTCTTTCCACTCCATGAGCCCTTTCCCCTGCAGTCGTCCCTCTGAAAAAAGTAAAAAAAAAAACAATAAATAACGTGGATGGCAGGTACAACAAGTGCTGAAACCATTGTTGCACGTACAAAAGTAGGACCCAAGAGAGACTACTACGACCAGGTCCTCCCCACCACGAGGGAAGCCTGTGTGCTGAATAAAAGGGAACACATTACGAAAGAAAAAAGAGGAAAACTCTAGGTATCAACTAACATTTGGTGCTGTTGTAACAAACAAAAAATAAGTATGCAAAGTCTAGTAAAAGCCTTTAGTAGGGTTTGACAAAAAATTGGCGTTTTCGTAACTCAAAAGAACCAACCAACAGCAGCAGTCTGCCAACAAAACTCATCAAGTCCTTGTTGGATTCCTTCTTTTTCTTACGAGTCACTTCTGATGCGATCGGGTTTCGAGACCGAAAAAAAGGCCTTTTGTGCAACTCCTGTTTCTTTTTCTTTCCGTTTTGTTCGACACCGCCTAGAAAACCAGTGCTTCTTATGATCATGCAAATCGAAAAGGATTCCAGGTCTGACTGCTAGAAAGTGTCCCAGGTGATGAGGTAAAACAAGCACTGGATTATCAATATAAGCCTCTTTTTTTGAATGGTGCCGACAATTGCATGCCTCCCAAAACGCCAAAATCATCAATCATACCCTCGTTCAGCAACGACCAACACCTACGAATTGCACACTTATGGACAAATGTTTCATTTAAATGAGCGAAAACACACATGCACCCCGGGTGTTTACAAAGGTGACGTCCGCGAGCAAAAAAATGCCAGCAAATAAAGTGGTAGCGCGTATGGATTGGAAACTTGAGCATTATCGTATCGTGCGTCTAATGAGGGGTAAGTACGCATGTGCATATGCATACCTTCGACACGGTTCTCCGCAAGGTCGAGGTCCGTGAGCTGAGGGATGTTTGCCAGCTCCGCCGGAATAGGGCCTGTATCGGCAAGGGCCCCAAAAAGAGACAACGCATCAAACGACACCATCAAAGAAAAGGGGGCACAGGATACAGTGTCAAGCACGGCATGTGTGACTATTTATCATTCAAAAGACGGCAGAATGTGATACGATATTGAAAGATGCCGGGCAGCATCACTCATGGTCTTGCCGCGAACGCATCGTGCTTCACGGCGCGAAACACCCCTCCGTATTACCGTGTCGGTGTCCTGTACTCTACGCTAGCCCGCAGCGACCACGCTTATCTTTGCCTGACGAAGAAGGCCAACTGGTGTTAGTGCTTGATGACGGAAAACAACAACGAAAAAAAAAAAAAAATCAGCAACGACGAAGTCGCCGACTTTCTACATAGAACACCAGCGACACCACAAACGCAAAAAAACGCCACACCCCAAGGACGGACCACAACCAACCACAACAGCAGGGGCAAAAGTAATAACAACAGCGACAGCACTAACGATAAGAACAACAAGCAAAAACGACAGCAACATCAACAGCAGGGGGCAAAAGAAATAGCAACAGCGACGGCAACAACAAGGGCAAACCTTGGATGTGATTCTTCTCCAGCCAGCACAGCATGAGCCCGGTCATGTTGCCAACCTCCGGGGGAATGTGTCCTGCAACACGACCACGCCAAGACACCAACACCCGCGATTGAACGTTGCGTGAAGCGATCAGTTAATACGCGAGCGATTCGATGGTCGGGGGGTGACGCAGAGTAAACAGCGTCTCGCTGACGGCTTACCCAAGCATGACACCGGGGTCAACCGCGCCTCAAAACACGGTACGTAGGTGACGTAATCTACCACCCCCCCCAGACCGCTTTTTCAAAGGTCGACTACCCCACGACGAAGAGGACGCAAAAAATCAAACTAAATTAAACGTTTTCGCAGAGATCTCGACGACACGGTTCCAATGCTGCCATTTTCGGCACCGTCACTGCTTTTCCTGCCGAGGTATCGAGCTCTGAAGATCGGCCCACGGGATGCGGCACCTAGCCTTCCTTACCTGAAAGAAACTAACCAACAAGTAGTTGCGAGCCCGAGTACAACGATAACGCCACCACTCCGAGCATCAACACGACCACAGCAGCAGCTCAGGAGTTCCCAGCCCTCAGCTCCCAGCCCTCAGCGTAACAAACCACGTTCATTCCCCAATATCACCGCTAACACCACTACCACCACCACCACCTCCACCTCCACGACCACACCCCCAGCATCCCATCATCCCAACTCACCCCCGAGGAGGTTACAGCTGAAGTCCACCTTCGACACCTCCGTCAGCTTACCCAGCTCCGCCGGGAGGCTACCTGTCGTACGTATTATAGTATGATGCATGCACATGTTCGTGTTGCGGGAGGCTACCTGTCCAATGTATTATGCATGCATATATTCGTGTTGCGGGAGGCTACCTGGCCGATGTATTATGCATGCACATGTTCGTGTTGCCGAAGGCCTACCTGTCCGATGTATTATGCATGCATATTGTTCATGTTGCGGGAGGCTACCTGGCCAGTGTATTATGCATGCATATCTTCATGTTGCAGGAGGCTGCCTGCAGTACGTTGATGTTGCGACCACGGTCGTCTGCATATTGTTGCGAGCATTCGATTGGGCGGTATTGTTCACGCAACGCATTCGTCCATTTCGTGGTTTCGGGGGGCTTATTATCGCCGTGGTAGTTTGATCCACCGGAGTCTCCCTCGGTGATTTGACCCAACCCTGCCGCGAGGTGCGATGAGAGGCGGCCCAATTTGCGTTGCGAAAATTTCATTGGTCGATGGCACATGTTGGGGTGATCTCATTGGCCAATTGATGGACGGAGGCATGGTTACTTGCCCTAGGCACAACGCTTAGATGCCCATTATAACGTCTACTGCCGCCAGTTTCGTATTGAACATCTCGGCACGGACGATGGTATTCTCTGGGTTCAACACATCACCACCACCAAAACAACCTTGAAACCAGCGACCACTATTTACCACCGACATCGAGAGGATGACAACGACAATCCTGTCACTTACCGGTAAGCTGGTTCGATCGGATGTCGAGGTAGTTGAGGCGGGAGAGGTTTCCGAACGTGCTTGGGATCGGTCCTGGTCGTTAGAAGAAAAAAAAACAAGAGAGGCAACAAAAACAAAAACAAAAAACGACGGGGAAACGCTGAGAGAGATCGAAAGAAAAAAATTACATAGGCGACGAAAACGTTGCGATTTCTTCGGCTTCTTCCATACTCATGTTTGGAACCAATCACACGGTGCATAAAATGACGCCGGCAACAGCAGCAGCAGCAGCAGCAGCAGCAGCAGCAGCAGCAGCAGCAGCAACAACGATATCAAAACAGCTGGGCTACATGTCACAGTGACAGCGACGACGACGATCGGACACTGCCTTGGGAACAACGCCAACTCCACCCCCGCCGCATGCACAACAGAATAGAGGGTGCTCAGAGGGCTGCTTAATGATGGTTAGTGCCAAGAGAATTGACCGGCACTATTCCGGGGACACCGGCACTATTCCGGACACCGGCACTAATCAAAGTTCAGAACAACTCAGTGATTACGTCTGTGTCAGCCGAATAAACCGACACTACACCGGGCACCGGCCCTATTCACCCAGCACTAAACAGCCCCCCCCCCCCCACAGTATCAGAACCTGGTCCGGTGAGAACCTGGCGTGCTCCGTGCCAGCTTTGTAGGGATGCGAAGTCAATGGTC